AACAGACGTTTAAATGTCAATAGTGAATTACAGATGGCAAGAAAGTGTATGGTGTGTAACTTGGGAAGTTTGCATCCCATCCAACTGACTGTAAAGAATAAAGATGCTTCATTACATGGCACTATGAGAATATCAAAGAAAAGGAAAACAAACCATCATATGGAGTATCAGGGGCTCGACAAACACATTCCTTGATATCACTTGCAATTACCCTCTGTTGCAAAAGAATAGCCAGAAGGTTGAAAATTGACAGAGATGTCAAAAAGGATTATTTTAATCACTGACAGACCTGGCAATAGAGTTTGTAGCTTTCTGTTGTATTTGGAAAGTCAACATCTACTGCCTGTACAATTTTTAAATTAGGATGAAGCAAGAATATAAGAACAGTAGTAACTGTGTAAGAAGTCGTGATGCAGCTAAGTGAAATAATAAATTACAATTACAAGACAGAAAGATCAAGATAGTTAACAATTGATTTCAAATCAACATAAAAGAAGTGAATGGCCTGTGGCTTCTTTTACCAAGTTAATTAACATTAACGAAGTTCAGAGGTGAGGACGACACGTAGCACCTCTATTGTCAAATGAGCCTATTATCACAACCAACTCTACTTTACCCCCAAAAATGCACTACAATTAGGCATAAATAAACCAACATCTCAAAAGTATCAATCCACCACCTCTATCTCCTAAGGAAAAGAAACTTCACTAGATAGAGATGAAAAATAACAGGATGAATCAGACTTATTAAGTTAAAAATTTAAAGAAAAATAATCTTCCGAATCTCATACTTGTGTCCAACCAGCATAATTACTAAAACATAAAAGTTGACAGGTACTGGATACCAACAAAAATACCATAAAACAGTTATTTTTTAGAGAGAAAAGAGATCGGGCAATAAGCCATGATATTACAAAATAAAATTACCTGAAAGTCCCCTGGTCGTATCTCCTTTCTCTTAAACGAGTATCTGGGTTTTATCTGCAAGAATGAAACAGGAACACATTTAAATAAAACAAGAACAAAAGAATTCCAACAATACTTGAGACTTAATTTATTTTTATTTAATAAGAGACTTAATTTACTTTATTAAGGGAAAAGAAACAACTTTATTCAAATAATCACTTACCACAATACCTTTGCTTTCCAAGCTTTTCATTAAGCATTCCGTAAGAAGTTCACCTCCAATAGGAGATGATGATACTGCCTATTGTCAAAACAAGTAAAAGGAAGTGATTAATCAAATCTGTCCAGATGATGGAAACTTGAATCTCATCAAGCTACAGAGCTTTATGAATGCAAAAAACACTAAAAAGAGACACAAAACTGAATTCCATTAACATGTCTTTAGTTAGGATCTTTGACAGGAAAGTAAGAGATTCACCATCCAACCCACACTGCAGCAGATACAAGTATAATGAATAAACAGATAATACAAATAGATAAGAACCAAAATTTCTAAATTTCATACTAGAAAAAAAAAAGAACAGTGAATCAGAAAATTATCAAATTTCATTCTTTTTGCTCGTTGATAATCTTAAGCAACTTCTGAAAAGAATTTCTTGTTTTTGTGTGCACATGCCCACTTTATTTTTCTCGATTACTCCTTCGTTCTTCACTCGGGAAAAGAATTTAAAAATCCAAGTATCATCCCAAACAAAAAGATGTAAAGAGCATACTAGAAAACAAGAAAATTATTAGAGAAATGAAATGTTAAATAAAATCCTCGTTGAACAATGAGTATGTCCAGTTCTGTCATGACAAGTACATTTCCCTAGAAGGCATTCCAAATGAAACTCGAAAAAGAAAACCTGATAATACTAAAATTAGTTCCAATATGATCTGTAGGCAAACTGGCATTCAATATAAAAGAAAAGTGCTGAACATCTGGTAAAAGCTAAAACATATATATTGGAGATGATTGTATAAGTATTGTTACATACAGATTAAGATGATGTACTGCAGCAACTGGGAAAATAAAATACCTTCTGAAGAACGTAACCATCATGTACAGCAGCAACTGTAGTTGATCCTCCACCACTGAAAAGATTGTCGGCCATGAATAACACTGTAAGTCTACCATAAACTAATCGATAATTATGCCAAGAAAAATAAAAACACAGCTTAGTGTAATATAATTACACAACACACAGGAAAAATTCCATAACTGGTGATACATGTTAAGTACACCCCATTTATGGACATCATTTTGTGTTGCCGGGCTGGAATGTTCTTGTTGTCTAAGTACAATCTTGTTCCTTGAATTTAAGAAAACAGTATCATTTCTTATACTATAGATCATTTGTAAGTGAAAATGGACACCTAATCTAAAGTAGGCAAGAAAGAATATTTTATAAAAAGGCCTATAATCAGCAAAAAATTGTACTGTAGACATAACGATAAAGCAGCAAAAGGCTTATCTAAAAAAAAGATATGGCAGCAAAAGGCAACAGAAGACAGCAAGAACAAAGAGGCAGCATGTAAGCCATGGCCATAGCCAAATACAAAATGATTGTAAGACATCGAAGCCCTACCTATCAACAACTAGGGAAGTGGCACGCCCAGATGCAAAAGATGTGAGAACCTGAAACCAAAATCTTTCAAAATTACACAAGCAAAAATCATTTGAGTACACAAGCATGAGGAGGAGAAAAGAGACAAAGAGCATACAGCATTCTTAGCCAGAAACAATGCAGGGACTTTGTACTTCTCGAACATAAGCTCTGCTGTCCTGTCAAATAGGTTACAGGTTAAGCTCTCATTTCGAGTAAACCAATAGGCAACAACTATAGTGCAACTTCTTTGACGAAAAGCTAAATATACAAAGACTAAAAATCATAAAAAGCAACTATCAAGATCTAAAGAAAAAAGAATGCATTTAAGTTGGATGCAATTAGATGTCAAAATTACAGTTTATGTTTGAGACCACATGCACTCGCATGCTTATGTAAGGATTTACACAAATAAGCAACAAATAGTACCAGAAAATAACCCCACTGTTGGCACACCATTTACCTAAATTTGGAGCAAACGCGAACAATACCAAAGAGAAAGGCTATATTTAACTTTAAAATTCATAAATAGTGGCATTATGAATAGATATCTTCCCCTTTTTTTTTTAAATAAGAATGGACATCTTCCCATGATACATTTCAATCAATATAATACAGTTAAGTGGTCATATAACAAGTATTAAATAAAATCGGACCACATAATTTAGACAAAAAAAAGTTTATTAGTAAGGAGCAGAATTAACATCTGCCAACAGGGTTACCTTTCTCGCTGCTGTTGTGTGTTTGAAGATGGTTCTGCAAGCAACATTGGATGCTCCTTAGGATCAATCAACAGGCATTCCCTGAAAATAAAAATTTCCTCGAGTAATCACAATAAATTTAAAAAAAAAAACAATTTCAAACCGGCCAACTGCAACAATCCAACAATCTACTTTTACCTGAAAGCATGGTCCCATATGCTATCAACAATATCCCAATCAACAACAACACCATCCTTAATTGGTGATAAAACCTGATAAAGCAAGAATATTATAAGTCAATTTTTAAAAACCAAAGTATTTAAATTTTACCACAGCTAGCCAATTAGAACGAACAATAATCAATCAGTTGCTAACCTCCATATGATCCCTTCGAAATCCCAAGGATTGAGATCCAACATATAATTTGCATTTTCCCTTGCCTTTATTAGAATCATTAGCTACAGCATTGTTCTTAGAATCTGTTGCAGAACCTGAGTTCGTATTTGCAGTGTCATCAACATCCATTTGATCAATTGATCCAACAACCTTTCGAAACGTAAACATAAAATCGTATATAAGAATATTACTCTGAAAGCTAGCATAAAGAGGTAACCAACAGCAGAGCTATAGTTACACAAGAATAACAAATGCACAAAAAACAGCAAACGAAGTCAAATAGGATATAAGACTCAGAAAGTGGTTTTCTCTGAGTCCTTACAATTCCCAACTTAATATTCGTTTTACTCTCATCGAGAAAAGGCTTGCTACAGTTACAGTTCCATAGACCACTTCCATAATTAAGCACAAACCATCCAAAGAACATTTGTCATAAATCCTTCAATCTTACAATGTGTAACTTAATCAAGCTCATAAAATGACTCCTCGTATGCATGCATCAAATTTTGGGACCGGAAGTTTTTATTTTTTATTTAAAGAATTAGTGTTTATCAAAGGCTCCTCTGGGTAATCAAAATTTCTTCTCACCACATTCTTTCCACACCCGTAACTCCCTCCTTTAGACCATAATACTTCCCCAATTCCTCCGATCATAGTGAACTAATGTAATCAAGGGGGGGCTGTTAACCTTAACACTTGATAATTAACTTCTGCTTCAACGAAATTTTGTTTTATATTAAATTTTCTACCTTTTTCTTGATTTCCTTGCTTCTATGAAGGAATATAAATTCATGCATTCAGCTGGTGCATTTGCGAAGGAAAACATGAGGAAATGGATCAAAACAGTTCAAGTTAAAGAACAACCCAAAGCAACAAGGAATACAGTGTTGAAAATAGTACAAGAACTTGACATTTCGACTAAAACCACATAAAAATAAAACATCTAACTCACGTTGTCCAAGAAAGTTCAGAACAAATTCACACACACAGAGGATGACTCACCGAAGGAAATACAGCCTTGGGAGCATCTTCACCGGCGTAACCAGCTTTGCAGGTGTGCGAACCTAAGTCAACGACGATGGCAGATACTTCATCTGCTCAAACACATAAAACGCCATCAAAGCCAAGCCTAAAACCGGATTTCTTTAGATTGAAATACTCCATGTGAAAAAATCAATTTCGAAATGAGAAAATTCGCGCACTCACCACCCCCGTACATGATGGCAAGTCACGGCGAGAGTGAGAATTCAACCTTCGCAGAGGTTTTTGGGCAGGAACTCAGGGTTTTAGTTCAGTCTTCTTCCGTTTTTCCCTAGAAGCTAGATGGCGCAATCGCATTATTTTTGGATTCTCTGGAGTCGGGTCATCCTTGAATTTGAATTTCGGGTGGTTCTCATTCGGGTCAGGTTCTCGATCCGGATATCTACCCACCCGGAATTCCATGTCGTTTTGGGCCGAGGCCCATGTAATTAGACTGCCGTATTTCATTGATAGGCTTATTGTATTCGGGATGAGACATGAGGAGATTAGATACAATTAAGCGGAAAGAAGTAAACAATATAAAGTCACATTTTGGTGCATAGAGATTTGGATTGACAAAGTATGAAAATCTATATCTAAATATATAAATGATCTCAAAATATATATGTATATATACGCAAACATTCTTATACCTTTGGATGTCCTTTCATGTCTTTCACATTTTGTAGATTATATTCTCTTAAGTTATGTAATTGATTTTAAGTTATAGTTTAATTTAGGGAAAAAATAAAACAATAGATTAAGAAATGTGGTTTCTTCAAATTATTAGTGTTATAAAACTATTTTGGATAAGTTTGAAAGCAATTGCCAAAAAAAAAAAAGATTTTTTTTTTTTTAACGAACCAATCGAGCTATTTATCTAAACAATCGATAACAAAAAAAAAATTTATAGTGGGTTTGATGTTTTTGGTCGATGTTAAATGAAGAAATGTATAATATGTTTAACTGTTGATAGTTAAGTATTTGCATATGTGTGTATATATGTATAAAGTGTAATTATTAATTTAATTAATCATTATAAAATTATGTGTTACTTTTAGATACTTGATATTCAAATTTAACTACGTTTAATCTGTACCTAAGAGTTTAATGTAGGAAATTATTCTTTTAGATTATATTTTTTATATGAAACTCGTTTTAAATTTTGTGATAGTAACTTATTTTAAAAACTTTAATTGAAAATAAAGTTCAGAAAAATTTTCGTTGCCATATGTGTTCCAAGCAGTATAATATATTTTATGTTTGGTGACCTACTACTATATGAATTTTAGACTTTAATACTAGAGCACTCTTTGATTAATATCTTATTCATTGATTACCAAGTACAATTAATTAAAACACAAAGGTAGTAAATACATTTAGCAGAAACTTATACATGAAAATCTTTGTGACAATTGAGATTAAAAATCAAACATTCTCATACATATTGTTATGCACATTAAAATAACTATTTAACATTATATATTGTCCACTATTAGGAATAATAAGAAAAGTGTGGTTTAGAAAGACCCAAACTATAAATCTATGTTGGCATGGAGTGCAAAGCTCATTTTAAGAGCCAAACACTAAGAAATATAAGGAGAACTTGAGATAAATTTGGAAGATTAAGAGCCCTAAAATATAACTATTATTTAGATCCTTGTAAAAAAATTTCTATATCAAAAAAGTATTTGTAACACCCCGTTCATCAGTGTACTAAAATTATTTAAAAACTCTATTCATTCAGATTTTTATCCGCCTTAAATTTAAATTAAATTATGTAATTCTTGATATTTATGATTTTAATTTATTTTTATTTTTATTTATTTTATTATTATTTTATTTTAATTTATATTAAATTATTTTATATTATTTAAAAAAAAAAAAGAGAAGGAAAAATTAGAAAACGGCTAAATGGGAAAAAACTGGCTCGCAGAGAAAATCCTGCGGGAAAAAAGGTTTGCCTGCGTGGGTGTTGGACATTGCGCACGCGCATGCGTGCACAATGGTCGTGGGGCGTGCGCACAGCGCGCATGTCCTCTTCGCACGCACGCATGCACGGGACGCGCGCACAGCGCGTTTATCCTGTCGCACGTAGGCAGGCGGTATGCGCGTCACTTCGCGCACGGACTGGTGTTGCACACTGTGCGCGCGCCGTCTGTACTACAAACCTGCGTGGACAGACATTATGCGCCTGGGGCTTACGCGTAGTAGATTTGCGCCCGCAACACCCAGTATGTTTAGGCCCTGCGTGCACGGTAGCAAGCCTATGCGCCTATTCAAATGAGTCAAATTGTTCTAATTTTTAAGTATGCTGTGTGAATTACTGATACTTGATGAATTTGCATGTAATAAATATAATATGTAGTATGTGATAATAAAAGTAAAATAAAAAAAAGAAAAATAAAAAAGTGGAATGAACTTTGTATGGTCCGAAGTGTATATGTATTAACATGCATGTTGCATCAAGTGTCTCGTTAGACTTTTTATTTTTGAGGAGTATTTGTTCCTCTTACCCTTTAGGGTATTTGTTTCTTCATCCCCTATCTGATCTGTAAAGACGTAATAGGATCGCTACCAATAGATGACGACGTGCTCTTTGACGAGAGTGGTATCGCACTATTTGTAAGGATTACTAGTGGCTAAATAATGTCGTGACTATACATTATATGTTAGGATCACTATGGTTGATACAGTCATTGCTATAGATTGTACCATAGTTTACTCAGCTAGAAGTGAGTCTGAGCAAATTGTCGTATTTGTATATGATATGTTCATTCCACTTGCACAGTTAGAAATCTGTATTTATATCTGTTATTAGATATGGAAGTTTGTAATGATTTTGCAAAACATGACATGAAAAATTTGAGTATCGCATGATTTATTTGATTTTTTTTATTATTATTTAGCATGTCATAAGTATATTTGATTTTATGTGCTAACATACTATTTTAATATTCAAATAAATGGTTTTTCCTAATGATGAGTTAGGCAAATGAAGAAGCTAATCGTGTAAGATAAAATAATAAAATTCTAAAATCTTACGATGTTAATTTAATATTATTTTCTTTATTGAACATATGAAACTCACTATTTCTATTTTTCCTTCAAGATGAGGAAGAAAATGAGGTTTTTGATTCCGGTGGATAAATATTATCGTACACTCGTTATTATGAATCTGTATCTGACACCCATTTGCCTTAACTGACACTTGAGATGTCACAGTGTTATTTGTTTTACTATGTGGATATACAAAAGTGAAGAAGAGATTATGAGTTACATTCTTAAAAACTATAAGTCATATAAGGACACATTTATAAAAGTAATTTAAAATAAATTTTTAGCAAAAATATTTCAAAATTAGATAAACATAGAGTTACTTAATGGGTAAAAAACCTTGAGTAATAACAAATGGATTTATTTGTTCATTGCCTGTGTACAAACCTCACTAAATACTAAAATCATCTACGTTACTAGGAAAAAAATTCGAATGATTTTTGAATTATTATTTAATTTCAAAAATTCATACAAAAATATCGCGATGATATTGCTCGTTTACAATACATATTTTACAAAACTTCACAAGATAAATTAATAATACCAATTATCTTAGTGGATTAACGTCGATAAAAATAAGAGTTTTACTAATAATAATACTTAGATGCATTGGTAATTTTTTTCATAATGACAAATATTAATGGGCAAAAGGACTTCCCGTGAAGTTAATATATGATATTATGCATTTTGATATGCTCGTTATTTATGAAAACATCCACATTGATAAAAATATGAGAAATAATTTTTGAATCGAGGAGTTTAATACCCTTTATAGAGTCGACCTACTACTTAATGGTGAGCATAGAGAAATTTCAACAAATACTTAGATATTTTTTATGGCTGTACATCTCGGGAGCAATACAAAGCATGTTAATGCTCAGTATAATCCAAGGGGGCTTACTTAGTAGTAGCTTAATCAATTTGTTCTTGATTTATTTCACTTGGTTCTTAAAGTTACTAAAATAATAAAATATTATCAAACAAATTATAGTTAATTTTTTATTATAGGTGTGCGCACCCCTGACCCAATTTTCCAAAATTCCAAATCTAACCCCACCATTAAAAATTAATAATAAAATAAAAACATCCAGCCTCTCTCACAGATAAATTTGTAATTTTCTTTTTATTCTAATTTTTTAATGCTCACGAAAAAAAAAAAAAAAAAATTTACCAGTAAAAAATAAATTAATACTTGTTTTAAAATCTTTTAATTAACCCACCTCAGCTCTGCAACAAGTCTTACGTGATCCCTCCCTCTTTTTCTCTTCTCTTTATAAATAATGCCAAACTTCCCCTGCCACTCTTTCACTCCTATCCCATCTTTCTTTCTTTCTGCAACAACTACAAGAAAATGGCTAGAAATCCGTACTCTCTCTTTCCCATTCTATTTCTCTCTTCCCTTTTTATCGTCTCCGCACTTTCTCGCAGCTTATCACGGACTCCCTACGCAACAACCCTTCTAGATGTCTCCTCTGCTCTCAAGCAGAGTCTCGATATCCTCTCTTTCGACCCAGAAAATTTCAAATCCGAAGCTGTTCCTCAGCAGCAACAGGAGACCGTCGTTGCAACTCCTTCTTCTCTGTCTCTTGAGCTGCACTCTCGCGATACTCTCCACAAGATCCAACATGAGGACTATAGGAGCCTAGTTCTCTCCCGACTCAAGCGCGACTCATCCCGAGTCGCCGCTCTCAACGCCAAGCTTGAACTCGCTCTCAACAACGTTAACAAGTCAGAGCTCAAGCCCGTCGGTGACACCTTGTTCAGACCCGAGGATTTATCCATTCCGGTGGTTTCCGGGGCGAGCCAAGGAAGCGGAGAGTACTTTTCCCGGATCGGAGTTGGAAGCCCGGCGAAGCAGTTTTACATGGTGCTCGATACTGGCAGCGATGTTAATTGGCTCCAATGCGAACCTTGTACGGATTGCTACCAGCAAACCGACCCGATTTTCAACCCGTCTTCTTCCTCCTCTTACTCTCCTCTCTCTTGCGGTTCTCCGCAGTGCGGGGCTCTGGACATGTCTGGGTGTCGCTCCGGTAGCTGCATCTACCAGGTGTCGTACGGAGACGGGTCTTTTACGGTGGGGGAATTCGTGACTGAAAAGTTGTCGTTTGGAAACTCAGGGAGTATAGACCGTGTCGCTCTGGGTTGCGGCCATGATAATGAAGGGCTGTTTGTCGGTTCTGCCGGGTTGTTAGGCCTGGGTGGCGGCTTGTTGTCCCTTACTTCTCAGATCAAAGCGTCGTCGTTTTCTTATTGTTTGGTGGATCGTGACTCGGGCCGCTCGTCGAGTCTCGATTTCAACTCTGTCTCAGGTTCGGACGGAGCCACCGCTCCTTTGCTGAGAAACCGCAGATTCGACACATTTTATTACGTTGGACTCACTGGTTTCAGCGTCGGCGGGCAGATGCTGTCGATTCCGCCGTCACTTTTCCAGGTGGATGAGTCGGGGAACGGCGGGATTATCGTCGATTGTGGAACCGCCGTTACTCGGTTGCAGACTCAGGCGTACAACTCACTGCGAGACGCGTTCGTGAGTATGGCTCGGGGATTGAAATCTACAGGCAGCGTGGCTCTATTCGACACGTGTTACGACTTTTCTTCGCTGACGCAAGTCAGGGTCCCAACGGTGTCGTTTCATTTCTCTGGCGGTAGGTCCTACGATCTGCCGGCCAAAAACTACCTGATTCCGGTTGATTCCTCTGGTACCTTCTGCTTCGCCTTTGCTCCAACGTCGTCGTCGTTGTCGATCATCGGAAATGTCCAGCAGCAGGGGACACGTGTCAGCTATGATTTGGCTAATAATCGTGTCGGGTTCACCCCGAATAAATGTTAGATAGTGGCAGTGGCAGAATTTCCCGGTTCTTGCCTTTTTCTATTTTATTTTTAAGCTATTATTTAAAAAAAAAAAAAAAAAAGGAAAAAGAGAGTATGAGTTTTTATAATTTTCTATTTCATATATTAGGAAAGATAAAATTTTAATTATTTTTTTAGGTTATATTTATTTAAAGATATGTTCTTAGTGTGTGGAGGAGATAGATAAAAGTAGGGCCCACCAGAGTAAATCCTCAAAAGCTCCTTTGGATGATATCGTGGGCCATCCCGATCGGGTTTCTATATAAATTGTAACATTCCGTATTCTTCCGTTCACTAGTTCAGTGGCATGTGTAGTAAATTGCTTCCAAGAGTAGGGGCAATTATGTGTCTAATCTAATCAAAACTGTAAACAACATGACCGTCAAAATTTTACGTCACAGTCGTTTGCATGCAGGATACGTGGCACTATCCCGCGTGACGGTGATTTGGATTTTTTGACGGCTGTGGGGCGGGAATCTTGTGCTTTTTATTTCACGGAGGGGTTGATTGGCCTGGTTTTTTTTTTTTTTTTGTCTTTAACGCTTTGATCTCTATTACGTATTTTCGCTGTAAGAGAGTCGCGTGGGGTCCACCTTCCTTGGATAGTGTTGTGAGGGGGAGGGGGGGTTAGGGATCACATGTGCAGGGGTCCACCGAAGAAGGGGATGGGTTTTTGGTTTCAGACAGCAGCATAGTTAAGGAAAGTCAGGATGAAGGGTAGTACAACCACTACGTAGTGGGTCCCACGCGTTGAAAAACGTGGGTCCGGGACCGCGATCGTCGGCAGGTTCCGCGTCGTACGCTTCTCGACGTGCCACGTGGTATAACTATGCTTACGTGGTATAACTATGCTTACGTGGAGCCGGGAGAATCGCTTAATTCAAGTGACGGAGGGCCAAATTCTGATTATTTTTTTTTTTGTCCTCTTAAGAAAATGAGGTCACTTTAGCTATTAATTTTTATGTTTTATTAGTTGAGTATTTTTTAATATTATAATTATTATTTTTGGAGTTATTATTCTTATTTTCAAAAATATATATATCAAGTACAATTTAATTTAAATTTATAATATTTTTTAATAAGGAATAAATGCATTAACTATTTCTATTATCATGTCTTTCTAAAATAAAAATATTTAATAACTTTTTAAATAAATTTCTATTTAAAGACAATCATAAATTAGCGTTGATTGTAAAATTTGTAATTCAATACCTGAAATGTTAATATAATCTATTGCTCGAACTTACGATTTCATACCTAAAATAATAATGATTTACTTCATTGCCCAACCACCATTTTATGGGTAATCTAATGTTTGATTTGATAAGATTATAATGAATTTTTTTTTTTTTTTTAATTTTTTCGTAATATCAATAAAAGCAAAGGTCGAATAATTGTGTTTGAAACAAAAAACTTTTATTTGTATTTTAAAATATATTAAATTAATCTACGAAATAATTACTGTTTTAGTAAATCAAGTCCAAATAACGAACTAAATTATGTTTTTGGAATTTTCACTGCGTTTATTATATATATTTATATATATATATTTTTTTTAAAAAGTACGGTATTTATAATATATGTATACGTACCGTGGGTTTGGTTTCAGTCACGTGTACATATATAATATGTATATGTATACGTATAGGTTGTTTAAATTTGTTGGCAAGGGGGATGTAAAAATCAAGAGATCAATTATACATATGGCAGCAGGTAGGTGTTGCAGAGACCAGACCATTATAGGCTAATGGGGCCAATATAATATCACATGTTATGCCTTAATTTTAGGCCATATTTCTTGCTTTTACACCCATCCCTCTCGGTAAATATGGTCAAATATTACATTTTTTTTTATTTAATTATCTCTCCTCTCTCTATTTTTTAATATTTCGACTATTTACAAGAAAGTGTATAAATAATTATTTACTTTTATAAAAAATCAAATAATTTTTTAAGAACTCTACAAGGTTCGATCAGAGTTTCGTATGAATTCGAATACTACTGATAGATTAGTTAATAATTGATATATTATGTTAAGAAATTTAAAATTGAAGGAGAAGATGAGATGAAATGAATGAAGAGATTCACAAAATCTTAACAATTAAGGTTTTCAAAATGACATTTTGTCTCCTTTTCCTTGTCAAAATGGTTATTTTTTGAGTGATTAATATATTTATATATAAATATAAAGGTGGTGGACTTAGTGTGATTACTTTAATCAATGCCTTTTTTTTTTTTTTTGTTTAACATTTGGAAGATCAAGACAAAGCTTTTTCACATGCAAGAAAGCAACTTGGTAAGACACAAATCTTGAACCAGATATATATATATATATATATATATAAATATTTGTGGTGAATTCTTATTCTTATTATTATTATTTAATTATATGAAGGATTCATGTTTGTTTGTGCCATTAAAATTATAAATATGGTATTGGGTCAACCATAAATTTATTCTGCTAGAGGTTGGTGGGAGTTGCCAAAGATTGCCAATTGAGGTCAAATGCCAAATATTCATGCCTATGATTATTGCTTATATATATATATATATATAATAAACTCTTCAACTTATATTTTTAACGAATAAAATATGTGTATTAATATAAAATTAAAATATCACAATTTCTCATAATTGAGATTACAGGCTGAATTTAGTAATATTTTTTAATAAATTAAAGAGATTATTATTGTATTAAATTAATATATGTAGTAATAGTAGCAGTAACAAGTCATTGTCTGAATTTATAACAACTATGAAGTCCCATCAATTTTAGAACAGTAGCTAAACTAATTATTAATTTAAAAAATTAGTATTTTGGATTTTTTTACATATTTAATTTAGAATTTTCAACTTTCAAGTACTTGATTTTCCAGCTGGTTTTGTTAATTAATATATATATATATATTTTGTGGGCTCCAAATTTGAATTAATTAAGATGGAAGATTGAGAGTATAATTAAAATTTAAATCAAATTAATATTTTAAATTTTGAATTAGCTATGTATCACTTCGATTTAAAGTTTTCGCGATTTTTAATTTCTAAATAATATTTATTATTATGGAATTAAAATATAAATAAAATTTATTTAAATTATAGCGGATAATAATTGGAGAGGGTGTTGTGTTATGGTAAAGATTTATTGTACAATTTTATTATGATTATAAACAATTAATTTAGTCTTATTATGATTGAGGAAAAAGAAAAAAAAACTTAATTTATAAGAAAAATTATACCGGATCTAATGCATATATATATATATATAAATATAATTATATATATATAATAATTTTGAAAGTACCCATAGAATTTTCATGAATATATATATATATATATATATGAATGAATGAAAAAAAAATTGCAATACAAATTTCACCTTGTTTTATTAGTAAATTGATATCTTTTAAGTACTTTATTTTATTAACCGTATGGTGACAATTTCGTCTCTCTACCTTATTTATTTCTAAACACCAAATTTTGTCTCTCTCTCTCTCTCTCTCTCCCCCACCCCAACTATATATATATATATATACTGTGTCTGCATGTATGTATGCATATATATATATATATATGTATAGGTGGTGGTAATGAGTGATCAGATAATTGGCAAAGTGTGAGTTATAACGCCCGTCCATCATCAACTCCCAGCTGCCCCAAAACTCAAACCATTTCTGAAGGCTATTTGTAACGCCATTTATCTTTCTTTGAATGCCATTTATTGTCCACAAACCTAACCAGATAGACATCATTTATACACATCTCATCTTACAAAAATTTACTTTTTAAGACTGACGTTGAGGTAATTTCTGGAAGAGGGTAACTTCGATTGTAAGTAATAATCATAGCTTCAGGTAAAAAAAATTCTCACCTCCAATCTATGAATTCAACACTTGTCAAAGAGATAAAAAAAAAACAAGAATTATGAATTATGATCATGAAAATGGGTCTCCTGCTACGAAAAGACGTGAGTAAAGGGAATCAGTTCAAATCTTTACAGCTTTAAGTTACTGGAGAGCTTGGGAGAGACACTTAAGGAAAGAATGGCGTGTAATACTGATTCATTCTTCTAAAGTACAATTGTTTTCCTGCAATGATAATGAATATCTAAATTTCACAAATCTTCTATTGGCCTCTCGAAAAGAATAATCATTCATAGAGAATTGGTGATCCTCCAAAAATTATAGTTTCTGACTGCTGCTCGGAGAATGTAGAAAAGGCTATGCATAACTACTTTGCGTCTTATTGGGAAAAAGTTAACTAAGTTGCTCCATTGATTTGGAAGTATTGACAAACGTTGCCGCTTTATTGAATCCCTCGAGTACTAGAATTTGCACGGCCTCTACCCCTTCTTGAAACGTGAAATTTAACTGCAGGATTTCAGGCTAGCAATTAGGATCTGTTGTCGACATATCTTTTATCCTCGCATAAGCGTACATTGAAATTTTAAATACCTCTTCACGTTCTTGTTTATTGAATGGGCGAAGGACAAAATTAACTGGATCCATTTTCCCGGGAGGTCGTCCGATGCCTATAAAAGCTTAGCAAATTTAGCAACAGACAAGCAAAAAAAAAAACCATTTTAGAATAATCATAGTTTTCCTGACATCCTACCAATTCTTAAGCGAGGAAAATCACGACTCCCTTTTAAGCGATCAATGATGCTCCTCATCCTGCAGGAAAAGCACTGTGATCAACTACACATGCATGCAATACAGTTTTATTTCATCTTATTAAATGTCAATCACAATCCCGAAGCATTCAGGATTCCCATAAAGATTATCTAGCATTAAATGTTAATTATAATCCCCTAACATATGGAATTTCCAAGATTGCATTTTTCAGCATATGCCATTTCAAATAGAAGCCGGAATGTTTTTCAAGAAATGGACCAGGGGGAATAACCCTAGTATAAAGAAGTCTGCAACAGAGACACCATGAAGGGAGAATGTGATGGCAAATTGTCCAGTTTACACTATGATCTCAAAGATGGTAACAGGGAATATGAAGTTTGAAAACTAAGGCTGTATTTAGAATAAGTCAATATGTATTTGCAAATTTATACCTACTTTAACTAAAAGATAGTGAAGATACTCCTTAAATAATAAAAGAGTAACCTTATATGGAATTTCAAATGTTCTCCAAACTACATTATTTCAAATTTATGTGAACTTCTATGTGGGATCAGTTTTTTCTCACCAGTATAATTTACATCTCTTTCTAGTAGAACTAAGCATGAGTTCGCAGATAAGTTCAGTAAAAATTTTGGATTATTCAAAACATAACTTAAAAAGTTAAAATTAGGATGAGATATATTTCCACAAGATGTTCAAGTATATACATGAAAATGTCTCCCAGAAAAATAAAATGAAGAAAGCTGAAATAACAGTAATAAATAACTAATAGTAACAAGGGGATACCCGTTATGTCCTCCATGTCCACCTTTCGGCAATAATCGCAATTTTGCAAAAGGCAAATCTAAGTCATCAAAAATCTGTAAAAGAGAATAGTAGGTTTGGAGTCTGTAGCAATATTTGAGCTTAAATCAGTATAAGCAGGGAAGAGAGGAAGAAAGTAATTACCACAACTACTTGCTTCAATGGAATCTTGTAATACGAAACAATCGCCCCAACCTTCATATGTCTCCACAAATGAAACCAACCATTATCGGAAATGTTAAGATATATACTGTAAGGAAAAAACCTTCATCATAGAGTATATAAAGATCTTCTAGATGAGCATACTTACAGACTCACCACTTGCATTCATAAAGGTTTGCGGTTTGGCAAGCATTACTGGAACATTTCCTATGAAACCTGTGGAAATAAATACAATATTAACTGTGAAATGAAGAAATAACCTTAGAAATGAAGAGTAAAACTATTCTGGACAAGCATAAAAGCTAACTGATTAAACAGAGGACACAGGAAATACTATAATTGTACAGCAACAATTATGATTGAAACTGATAGGTCCCAGTCAGAAGCCAATTAATTTTTCGGTAAAGATTTTCTCTTTGAGTGAGAATAAACCACACTTGAACAACAATTTTTCGACCCCCCATTCATTAAACTTGCAGCCTTTAAATACAAAAACTACTACCTGCTACTTCCTACTTCTAAGGCAACTAAAACAAAATAGGATAGTGGTAGATAATGGGAATAATGGAAAATAAAACTAATGACGGGAAACAAGGGATATACGATACACTGTTGACTAATTCCACAACTATTCTAAACATACTTTTCCTTAAATTAAACACATGTTTTCCTTAAAAGTTGGTTGGCATTGAGATTTTCAAAGCTTAACATTACTCCTCCCTTTTTCAAGAATCTTGTCCTCAAGGTTCAGACAACCGACTTGTGGCATCTTCTTCGGCCATCTTCCTCGGCGCTTTGAATTTTCTTTAGTTCGTCCAGAACTTCATCCAAGGCTGTCTAATTTCCGGACCATGCTGGAACATTTAATTGCCCCTCTACATCCATTGTTCATAAAAAGAAATAAAAAAAAAAATACCACATCATCACCACTTGAGAATGCTAGTCAAAGGCCATCCACTCCCCACTCTTCAAGAGTATTATTTCTGGTTCCTTGCAGCCTTCTGTAGTTTTCCTTTTTTTTTTTTGGCAGCACAACTCTTTGTCTCAACTCTCTGTGCAACACAGCTCTCAACCTTCCAACGCGATCTGCCTCCCTTCCATCCCAGACTTTTTTTTTCCGGTGCTTTCCCTCAGTTTCCTTCCCTCCCTTCCTGGGCTTTTCTGTTCCTTTTTGCGGAGAATGTAGAGCCTTTTGTTGAAGCTCTCCCCTAAAGAATTCTCAATTGTCAAGACAGCACGCTCCACAAGCCACTGCTCGATACCTTCAAAAGCGGTGTCAAATTGCTTGCAAAGAACAGCTACGCAATTGGGATACGCCTTCTGTGCAGCTGATTCACCGTATGTGTAGGCAACACGAAGATGAGACCCATCAGATATTGCTTTGGATGCCATGTAAGTCACACTTTGCGTGAATGGTTTCAGCTCATTGCGATATGGTGGCGTCTGGCCAGGCTGGCCCGACGTGTTGCTGCTGTAACCTTCGCGGTTTAACAGCAAGGTGTTTGTCAGCCGCTTGAGGGTGTCTTCAATCTGGTGGAACTTGTCGGCAAATCTCACGTCCATCCGGCTTAGGCTGTCCTGCAATCTACCCATGCTGACTTCCAGATTTTCAATTCTTTTTTTTGTTAGTAGACATGCCTCTGATATCAATTGATAGGTCCTAATTAGAAGCCAATTAATTTTTCAGTAAAGATTTTCTCTTTGGGTGAGAATAAACTATACTTGAACAACAATTTTTCGACCCCCGTTCATCAAAGTTGCAGTGCTTCAAATACAAAAACTACTACCTGCCACTTCCTACTTCTAAGGCAACTAAAACAAAATGGGATAGTGGTAGATAATGGGGATAATGGAAAATAGAACTGATGACTAGAAACAAGGGATATAGGATACACTGTTGACTAATTCCACAACTATTCTAAACACACTTTTCCTTAAACTAAACACATGTTTTTCTTAAGTTGGTTGGCACTGAGATCTTCGAAGCTTAACAGAAACTGAGGAGATAGAAAATACTAAGACCAAATCATGTCATGCAACATCTGGTTTTTTACTTTTTCTTTCTAAATGACAAATGGCAATACCTTATTCGTGTTCCTAAAAAAAGGCAATACCTTATTCTTAAAGTATCTATTCAATAACAATCAGCTAGCATGTGAACCAATCACATAGTAGCATCATCCATGCTATCACAGCTTTGAAACTTCACTAAGTAAATTTCAAGCAAACACAAAAGACCATGTTGGCTCTAGTTATGAGTCTTCAGCATACAGAATATGAAACCGTGTAGCTTCGAGCAGGCTGTTCCCTCACACATCATTCCATTTCATGAGCATGTAACTTTATTTTCCATCCAAAAACGATCTATTATATATAAACTTTTGGTTCCCAACTTCATTTTTTGTTTGAAATAAACAGTATTATTAACAAAGATACCAAAGAGGTGCTAATCCGTATACAAGGTATTTACATATCAATCAACAAGTCAACAAAGTTCCTTAAGTCCTTCATAGAGTACAAAACATGACCCAAGAACAAAGAACCAAGGGTTTGGAACCATCCATCTATAATTAAAATAAAACCATTCTGCTCATCCACCCTTCAAAAGCTTTTATATTCCTCTCCTTCCAAACTGTCCCAAAGACTGTGATTGGAATGATGTCCGCATATTTCCTCCTTCCATTAATTCCCTTCCACGTCCATAACTCTCCTCTAACTGATCCTGCCATCACACACTTGACTCCTAATAACCCATAAAGTATGGTTCAAAGGTTGTAAACCTGCCGGCACCAAAGGAGTAGATGACTAAAGGTCTCTGCAGCCCTTTTACAGAAAAAGCAACCATTCACAAGAACCTTACCTCGTCTCATCAGCTTATCAATTGTAAGAATGCACTCTATGCTGGCCTCCCAAGATTCCCAACTTCCCCTTAAATCCTGATGTTTGATATTCACAATATGATGTCAATAAAACATGTGCAGCCAAAGAACTCAGGACCTTCCCTTTTAATCATTTGATATAAGCACCCAAGGAGAGTATACGATTGAAATGTAAGATATATTTATGTAAACAAGTAGAACAAAGATCAATGAGCTAATACCAAACAACTATAGATCATCCACAATAAAAAGTCAGGTTTTTTTATGATGAAAACTTGGAAATTACAATTACCAATTCAAAAAAAAAAAAAAAAGAATATTAAGAGCACGTAGGACATAAAGCTAACCTTTCCCAAAGAGGGCTTTAAAGTTAACAGCACTCATGGATATCCCTTCAGCTTCAGCTATAGCATCCACCATCCCAAAACCCACCTGAAAAACAAAAACACGATTCCACCGCGTTATTGCAGAAACCAAGTAGGCGTCACAAACCCACTCGAAGAAAAAGGGAAAGCTTTATTTTTCTTAATGTGAAGGGAGAGCGAAGCAGAGAGAATTACATTATGACGAGTGCCCTCGTATTTTTTGCCAGGGTTGCCTAGGCCGACGATGAGCCAGGGATGCTGCTGTTGCTGTGGATTTGAACTTGGGATAGCAGGAGAGTCTGAGTTGGAGGCGGAGGTCGAAAAAGAAGAAGAAGAGAAGTTAGGAGACTGAGCCATTGTCATGATTCTTCCTTTTCTCCACCAACAGCAACAGGAGTAGGAAACATGTGGAGAGCGAAAGAAACTTTGGGCATTTGAAACACCAATCTTTGCGATTGATGTGGTTATTGCAGAAGCAGAAGCAGCTAATTTCATTGGCTTGAGGGAAATCCTAGGGTCTTGAGGAAAGAGGAAGAAGGAAAAAGGCTGGAAAAGGGAGAGCGAGAGATTTTTGGTTTTTCTATTTTGGAATTATTTTTTTCAAGAAAAAAAAAACAATAATCGCCGTTGCCGGGGATCGAACCCGGGTCACCCGCGTGACAGGCGGGAATACTCACCACTATACTACAACGACCACTGTTGGGACTTAGGTGGCAGCATAACATACATCTCACATTACTATGATTTTATTTTTTAAGATCCACATATGATTTGTCCATAAGAACTCTTATGGTAACCTCTAAAAACAAGTTTTTGTTCTTTTCAAATTTCATCAAATCATTTTTTACCACTTCAAATACTTTTTGAACTATAGACATATATAAATTAACAAATTAAAATTACAAAATAAAAATTCCATTCACCAAATGGGCTTCATCTCTCGAGATAGTATCAGTCAAATGGTCATTGCCCAGTATGCCACATCGGCAGTTTGAGTTCATAGCCTGTAATATGAATTTGGATGATAATGTGTTTTTTTTTGCTTTCCAGCTTTAGGTCCATTACCACGAGACGCGAAGTCCTTAGTTTTATTGCCAATAGACGCATAGCTCAGAGAAAGAGTAGAACCAACTTCCTCCGAGAGAGAGAGAAGCAGAGAGGGAAGTGACCTCCCCCATTCTGGTGGTTGACATACGATGCTGATGCCAAAAATATTTGCATTCAAAAGAAAAGACTGATTTCTTAACATGAACTTGAAATACAAGTTAAAAATAGAGATATAACCACAAAAATTGATATCAATCTTTACATCCTAATTAAACGTATGAATGAATTCATTTTGAAAAAATTGAACAAATAATTTGCAGTTATTTTCATTGTGATTTTCAAAATTAGCAAGAGAATAAAGGAAGAACATCAGATTTGTCTGTTACATGTACATCTGTAGCATTTCTATACATAAATCTCAACTGCCATATCATTCGAACAAAAATAAATGCAGTGTACACAGGAAAACCTAAAGTGCATGTGGGAGATCTACAGTTTGAATTTGATCTCCAATTTCAGGACCATTGCTGACAAAATTAAGAAAAAAAGGAAATAGAATTAATCCAGGAAACCAGCATATAACATGCATGAAAAAGAAATAGGTCAATTGTTACCTGAGATGGCTGAGAGCTGACATTCTGTAGAGACAGGTGAAAACTAGGATATGCAACCCAATGGTATAAAAGAATGCAAAAGTTCGGGCATACCTGCAGTAGCATTAGTTATTGGATTAACAAACCATAATATGGAAATAATATGTGAAAGAATTTCAAGCATGCAAAGAAATATCACGATGATGGAATGAGATCATTGCTTGCATCGTGGACTTTGAAAAGATGATGAAAAAAGAAATGGCAGTATTCACAGTATTCCTATTCATTTTTTGGAGAGTTCTTCCATTTTACTTGCCAGAATTCCAATGAATTACAACCATAAAATCCTAGCTTTATCAATACAAAATCCTAGCCTTATCAATACAAAAATTAAAAGGAAGTATTTAGGTATCATATCCTGAAAACATCAATTGGAAGATTTTTTTATGCAATTTGAATAAAGAAAAAAAATCGTACTTGTTGCCAAGAAGGAAGCGTCCACTGCTAAGTGTGATTCGGTCTCTGAATCCCAATTCCTTGTATCTTTGATCCCTTTCCTGATTTGAAATAAATAAAGTCGTTTAGACCTGATATGATGTGAAAATATAAATATATATACATATATTTGAAATAAAATAATGTGAAAATATGACCAAGGAACAACACAAATTGAGTGCTAACAAGACATCTTTGTAATAAATATTTGAAGCTGCAGAATGATTTCCAATGTAAAGATCCCAGAACTTTCTATTACAAAGAAAGGGTTAGCCATTTGACTCAACAGGATCTGTGGCATTCTTTCTTCCTTAGTCAGGCCCTAGCAATCTGGAATTCATTGTCGTAATTTCAAAAAATACGGATCTACAATTAATCAGAGATTTTTCAGACCTTTGGTTGAACAAAAATGTATAGATTTCAATTTGACAATTTAAATTACACGACAGGAAAACCAATAACATAAGCCAAAGATTGAGAAACTAAACACCCAGTCTTAGGATAGCAGAAGGAAATTTAAAGTAATAATAATAATAATAATCATACATGCAAGCTGTGCTTCCCATTTTCAGCTCACAACCTTCTAATGGACAAGCAACATCCTAAATTATCATGTGTACATGTAAATGATAATAAACTAAAAATTTCAATAGAAAAGTGCAAGTTAAATAACCTTCTTTGAGAATGCCACAAATGGATTAATATCATCCTCATATATCTTCTTGTATTTAGATTCAACGTCAGAGCTAAAACCACTTTCAAGATCCTCAGCATGCTGAAAAATATCATATGACAAGAATAATTAAGAAGCTAGAAAATGGGATGCGATACAGATAGAGATATTATAAGGAGATACCTTCTTTGATCCTCTAGAAACTACTTTCTCAAGATTGTAATCCTGGACATAACGGATTTTCCCGTAAAGTTTGACGTTGTCAGCTTTGCACTTTTCCAGTTCCACTGTTAACAAACTAATCTTCTCCTTCAACTGTCTTATTTCCTAAAACAATAAGAAAATTCAGCAATGTTACCCCAAGGTTCTTAATTTAACTGAAAGATTGCTTTAAATTGTTGCTACATTAAATGCCAGCAAAAATATTAAAAACATTAAAGGCAATATATAAAAGATATAAATATCGTACCTCTTCTGTCTCCCGCAAACGTGTCCTAAATCGATCTCGTTGATTGCAGATCACTTTCAGCATAGAGCTCTGGTCCTGGTCGAAAGAGGAAACATGCTTCTGGTCTGTGTTCTGATAAAAGAGAGCTATGCCATTAGAAAAAGATACATGACACAACCATGAGGCTGTATTGGTACAATAAAGTTTGCAGTCAAATTCTAACATAGTGCTCATGTACATTGATCAGAAATGAACTCCTCAAATAAGAAAATAAATTAATAAAGCATCAATGATCTTTGGTATCCTTAATATTCCTTGTCTTGTTGCCCTTCTTCTTTCCACACCCCTTCCCCATCTCCAAACAAGGGTGTTGGCATAATTTGGTCATTTCAAATATTTAAAGAAATCATCAATGGTCTTTCGCAAAGTCTCCTTAGTAGTCCTCCCCCCTTTTACCCCATCACCCCCAGCACCCACATCTCACCAAAAGGAAAAAAAAACAAAGAAGGGGGCCTTCAATAGACTTTGAGTAAAATCAGGATTTTTTGCATCGTAGATAGCAAAAGATCGAGGTGGCTTGCAGGTGGACTTAATCGCAATTTGACAACTATTAAGTTGTTCTCGTAACGCCTTCCTGTCCCCTCACCCCCAAGAAAAGGAAAAAGAAGTAACCTCAATTTGATAAGAAACCATAAATATCACGTTCGTGGAACAATGGATTCTAAACCCTCTCTTTAGAAAACTATAGCAATTTTTACTTTCCAATCTTTCTTTTCTTAGTTTAATAACATAAGTGAAGAAGCATGCTAATTTTAAGAATAAAATATGAGATACTATTAAACAAAGCACTAGGCGGGTGCCACCAATGCAATCTGTATGTCCACAACTTTGAACCACATGTCTGAAACTACTACCTACCTGATTGATAATTCCCCTTTCACAATTTACCACCTCTTTTACTTGGCATATGCAGAGAAATTTTGTAACTAAAGAAAAGCAGAGTAACTACTGAAGCAGAGATACCTCAGAATGCTCGGTTCCCCCTGACTCAGAAAAGTCCCAGTCATCAAATAGATTATTGGTTTTTCGATCTCTAGAGCCATAACCCTGAAACAGAGAAAAAAGGTTGAGCTACAGAGAAGGCAGACTCACTATCGGAAAACTGGTAGCAATTAAAAGTTGCAAATAACTTTTTAAGTTATCATAATGGAGGCAAAGCATACCAATAGAATGTGGACATATGAATAATGTTTGATAACAGTATGCAGGTTATATATGCGTTCATGCATGAGTGCCATATGCAATTGTATGCATGTCTCCATTCAATCAATGAACGTAAATTGTGTATTCATGTTTAATGGCCAAAATCTCAAACAGGCAAAAATTTGAGCTTTTCAAGAGCCATCGATTCATACCTTCAAAATATCGTCTTCCAACTTCTGTATTAATCTTTGTTGTTCATTAATCTTTGCTGTTAATTCTTCTATTTGAGCTTCAGCCTTTTCAAGCAAGGATGCCTTCTCTGAAAGTTTTATCTGAAATTGGTGATAACACAGAGCATTAAGACATACTAAGAGCATTAATATTTGACAGCCCTCTATTTATTTCCAGGAGTAATTATAGTTTCTTCCCTTCTGATTTAGCCTGATTGCAGTTTAATCTTTTCCTTTTTTTCTTTTTTTTTTTAATTGTGAAATTCGGTAACATATTAGTTTGGTTTGGCATTATGGATAGTCATTAGTTTTTTAGACTGATACCTTGTAATTTATTGAGTTTTTTTCCTCTCATTTTGATTTGCTTAAAACCAAACTTCAAAGTGGGTTTGAAACCACATTCCGCCCTTATTTCTAAAATCTAGTAAGATACAAAATCTGAGAGCCACAAATTTCCCTGTAAGTTTACTTCAGATTGTAATCATTCTTAGATTTGTGTTATTAAAACAAAAAAAAATTCTTCAGGCTCTTCATACCTTTAATTGTGTGAGTTCGTGCTCCATTCTCCTGTTTTTATCAAGAAGAAGAGACTCCATTTTGCTCATCTCTTCCCCACTGGTAGCCACTTCCCAATCTTCAGCCTCAATTGAATTGTAGCCAACTGCCTATTTATGCAAAAATTAAATGCTTAAACACTAATTAGCAAACTTAGTCATTTTTTATCAATTATCTAATCCAGTGTTTGGACCACACAATAAGATAGCCTTCCCTCATCCCAGAACCACCCAATCCTTGGTGAACATGGGTTGGTCTCAGCCCCTTAGTAGAACCAGTAAAGTCCTTTTTGTCAAAGAACCATCGAAGTCTTGCATATTAAGTCTACCAGATAAACATCTTCTCACAATGATTATGAGGCACAATATACTGTTAGCTAGGGAAAGATAAGAAATAATCAAGAATCCATGTCAACAGCTTGAAAGAGTATAACAAAAGCAGCCGTACCATT